ACAATAATGCAGTATCACATGTAACTAACCCTTCCTAATAGCTTTTATGTGTGTACATGCCGAATGGTCTGCATTAATGTCGACCTTAAAATGAAATTAGGAGAAGAATTCTATTAACTCTTGTCCCTCCTACGAGCATTATCCTCCTGGCTGGAATACATTATAGAATTTCTCATCACAGCACAGATGGCCCTTTCAAGGCAAGCCAGGCACTTTGAAATGGAAGTAAGTTCAACAATTATGAAACAATAGATTCCTCCAAATCCAACTTTTCTTCGCATATATCAATTTAAAGACGAGCATCTCGAGGATGGCGATAGCCTGGACATTGCAGCAAATTATGTGCAACTCATTTGTGCATTTTCTATACACCAGACACAGTTTCATACAAAATTAACCTCGGCCAAACAATTAATCTTTGCTTTCGGAACCCGCAAGATATCGGAGAATGTAACTAACACTGCGTCACTTGTCATTTTTCCAAAAGACTCTTTCCACAATGGATCGTTGAGTGCACGCTTATCATGCATTTCTCAGGTATTGGGAGGCCATACCAATTACGACGCAGTGGCGTTTAATCGTAAACAGCGCGACTGTCGACCATGCTGGCTAACGTCTTTATTAGAATATAATGTTACTGTTATACTACTTTTTTTCATCAAGTAGTATTGATGAGAGCACTACGAAATATGATGACCTAAATGGCTTATCCTGTACCTCTATGCAAGTTGAGTAACCAGACGGAAAGAGGGTCCGTTTGGCTTAGTTTTCAAATGTGTCAGAGATAATATTTTATTTGTGTGATTAAGTATTAATGCACCCTAAATTTCTTTATTCTCTTTTCCAGTTTTGCTGCGTTAGACGAAGATATGTACGGATCAGATTGGTTGGGCGAACATCGTCTTCCGTTGGCAAATTTGGTGCCGAACTGTTTAACTGACCATTGCATTGCACTGGGCGCACGAAAACCGGTGAGTTGGCGTCGAACGTTGTTAGTCTGAGTGCAATTTAATTATTTCCACGAATGCGCTTCACAGGCTTCGTGAATTATTAACTTGTCCATGTATTTGCCCTGTTCAACTTCAGGGAAACGCCAAAAAATACGTCTCCTTAGGAAATCAAAGTGGGCTTTTATCTCTGAATGAGGCTGGGCTCAAACGACAACATCATATTGACATTCACGTAAAGCTCCGTCCAGTTAATGAAGGCTCTGAACTTCTGTTTTCTTTTTGCATTCGTTTCACCAGCTCTCAACTTTTTACTGACAATTTCGATGAGGGGACGCAGCAAAACCGGTTAATGTGAAGGAAGGCATCTCTTCGTCTTGTATGCGGTCGAAATTTAGCTGATAGAAAAAGCGATTTTTCTGTGAAAATTTTCAATTAACATCACATTGAAACTAAAATAAGAGGGTAAAAGAACACGAATTGGAGTGTAAGGAAATTTTCTACTCAAGCATGCCAAAATATTGCTCGAGTTTTCCCCCAACTTTGGCCTACGTCGAAATAAAGACAATAAAGCATGTCCCGACTTGGCGAGTATCCCAGTCGTTTTTTATTCTGGCACTTGATGGATGGATCCCACAAGACGTTCAGGAATAGCGTTCTCCAGTAATCCACTCTTGTTTAGCAAAAGGCCACACTAAAAAGACTTGTCCACTCGAGTTGCATGCACAACTTTCAAGGCAAAGCAGACTTCTCTAAACTCATCTTCTTTGGGGGGGACTTTGTGTCGATAGAGTACCAGAGGGTGTATCAACTCGGTCTCCAAACCTTTGAGAAAAATGCTGAAAGCTAAAAATAAAATTACTGAAAATTGACTAAAGAGCAGACTTAGGCTCTAAGAATAGCGTTTAAGTCACAAGGGGCGACAATCCTATTAAACACATGTCTTGGCTTTTTAAGCAGGCTTAAAGAACAAGTCGCTCGAATTTGAGTTTTAAAAAATATCACCTTTTTACCATTAATTACGCGTCATGTTTGCGCAAGCGACTCACCATTAAAAGGATTAATTATGCTATTTATTAATAATTTAGACAACCACACGATTAAATATACGTCTCCTTAATTGTGAAAGTGTAATATTTATCATTTAAAATTTACACTCTATTATAACCCGAGACCGCTGCTAAATTTTTCCCACAATAGTATACGTAGGTCTAAGGTTTCCATTGAATTTTCTACGGCCTTGCCTCCCAAAAGGTATATTCATCCCAGCTGAAGGGGACTGCAGATTCCACCTCGCCTAAACTTGTCTCACCTGCCCTTTTAGCGGGACTCGAACCGTGATAGTAGTAGTCTCGAAAACCCTTGTCCCTTAAAATGAAATTGGGTTAATACACTTCCTATATAAATGATCTCCTGGTAGTCTATAAAACCTACTTATAAACGAAAAAACTAATATAGTCGATTACTATAGCAATCACAACTTTGCCTCATCGACAATCCGATCACAGAATGTGATATGGAAAAATGTCTGGCCTTCCTAGAGATGCACACCTCTCCTGTGGTCGACTGGCCTTCGTAGCAATATGGCATTACACGCTGCAATTCAGCTACCAGTCCTTCATCACTTTAAACGAAATAGAGCGAATAGATCTCATAGATATGATCTACTGATAGTCTCGAAAGCCTACTTATAAGCGGAAAATGTATTTGGGCTTATTTGCGTGCGTGTGTTTGTGTGTGTTGGTGCGTCAGGTGAAGTGTGGAAGCATTAACCAGATTCGAGGCACATCAAGCCTTCTCTTCATGCTTAATCTCCCGAATTCTATCAAATAATCAAGACTAGCTCCTCTACCCATCAAATTCTCGCATGGCAACTCAGCTAATTTCAAATAATTCCCCAAGTATACGTTTTTCTGTGAGGCCTCTGAATCTCTTAACATATTGCGATTTTACCTGTTTATTTGGTACACTGTATTATTTAAGTTTTCAGCTGGCAGTTTTGTGTTCAGACAGCCTAACACGTATTGGGTGACAGGACATCTTCACACATACTCCACTTCATGTCCACAAAATCGTATAACCACCCGATGTGAAGGGTGGGTCAGAGAATTCTCGAATCCATGAATTAGGAATATTTTCGATTCTTTCTAAGCATTGTTCTGCTGTCCCATTTGCTCAGTCACTTTCCTACCTCTTATTAAGGAAGCAAGTAGAGCTTGTTCTGCATTAATTAGCTGTTTCCTCTCATATTATGCATTAGCAATGAAAAATACTTCTCCACAGCATGGAAACCACCAAGCGAATCCTTCTACCACATCACTTGTTAATCCAATATTTTCCGGTTTTTGAGATTTGCTTAAAGGACTGGTAGTTGAATTTTCCCACAATCACATGAGTGGACCTTACGTTTCCATTCAATTTCACATCGCCTTGCTTTCCCAAAAGGTATTATCCTCCAGATAGGGATGGATTACAGTTTTGACATCGCCCAAGTACTGTCAACACCCCTAGCAGGACTCGGACCATGACACTGCAGCGTATAATCTCAACATGTTAACCACTACGCCACTTTACCACGAATGCCGTTGGCTCGATTAAGATTTTCGATGAAGTTATATTTGTCATGGCAATCGACTACATTGCTTATTTTGGGTTTATAAGTACAGTGCTAATGAGACCTAGGCGAGGTCAAAACGGCAATCCACTCCAGCTTGGATGCGAATACCTTTCGAGGAGGCAAGGCTATATCAAGTTCAATGGTCTACCCATATGAATGTGGAAAATTCAACTACCAATCCTTCAAAACTTTCGACGAAATATGATGAATACATCTCATATTTGTGATTATAAATAAATCGTTATTCTCTTTGCAACACGAAACCCTTGTTATCTTCAAGACTAATTACGAAT